CTACATAATGATGAAGTACTGTTTACAGGGTGATGTTGGGATCAATAATTACAACCCATTAATTATATTAATCATTATCACATCAATCCGATAATTTGTAAGTCAATGAATTTTACTCGAGACATTTAGTAAACAGCATTACATCAGTGTTAATCATGACAGACAGACGTTATGACAATTCACTAATCAATACGACCGGACTTTGTCTCTTCTGATGATTGGTTATTTTAATGTAAACTCTCACCACTGGTGGTTGACCTTGGATGAGTATTGTATTCTATTTCTTATATGTACGTAAGTGTAATTCACCAGTCATTTTGCTCCACACAGCAATGCTGTTCAGTATGTTAATGTCAGTAAAACGTTTGAGCATTGTGGAATAGATCGAATGAAGTGTAATTATATTTCACTGGTGTACACACAATGATAAGTTTTGTTATTGGTAATATTTCGAGCAAAATTACTACCCGTGTTCACACCACTGTTGGAATTGTTTTGTTCGCACAACTATGATTTGTACTCATATATTTAGTTCATTCAGAATTATATTCCAGGTTGTTGACAGTTGTACTGAATCACCCTTGTTACATGTATCCGGTATGACCTTAATGAATATAGATTCTGTTATAAGTCTTTCTTTCCATTTGTTCATGTTAGTTTTTAGAATACACACATTGTTCCAATCGACATTATGGTTTTTTTTCCCATGCATGTGCAGCTATAGATGAATTTTTTTTCTAAATTCTTGTAAGCTTGTGTTCCTGTTGGTTGATCTGTAGTTAGACGTTTATGTTCATTCACTCTTATTTTGAGTGACCCACATATTTATTCGGACAGTCGGCATAAGATACTTTGTAAATCATATTGTTTTTATCCATCATTTTTTATGGGATCTTTCAGTTGATTTATTTTATTTTTAATTAAATTCTTCGGTTTAAACGTTGTGCGAATCCCAATATTTTTGAGGTTTCTTCGAATTGCCTCTGATGTACCATTTTTGTATGGTATTGTGACTGTTGTTTTTGCATTCGTCCATCTTTTCAACGATTCCAAAAGTGGTGTGAACACGGGCAGTAATTTTGCTCGAAATATTACCAATAACAAAACTTATCATTGTGTGTAAACTATTGAAATCTAATTACACTTTATTTGCTCAGTATGTCTTTATTCTTCATTGACGGACAGTTGCCTTTATAGAACTGTATTGTTTCCTCTATATTTTAGTGATAGATAAAGTTTACGTAAAGTCACCTGAGTTTTAATTATAGCGAGGTCTAGACTCTGTGTTATCAGTACTGATAATGAGGACAAAATATCCACAGGCAAATTTAATTCTACAATCGGTGTTTTTTATTTTATAAGATATATACCAACCAAATATAATAATAATAATAATTTGCATTATTCCAAAACAGTACTTGTGATACAGAATGGAATTCTCAGCACTTTTACTACAGTATTACATCCAGTTAGTACATTATCAATAAATCGAATTCTACATAGATTAAGGGTAATCTCAGTTCATTATGACAACAATACATTGGCATGTTGGTAGCAAAGCCAAAGTTGAACAGTGTTTGAAGGTGTTAGAAAAGTAGATGCTATCATATTTACTGGCGTCAGCGGAAGAAAGAAACAAAGCAGCACATAACGGAAAGAGAGAGAGAGACAGAGAGAGAAAAGAAAGAAAATGTCGACCTATAAATGATATGAGTTGGAAAGACGAGGTCCAGTTGTTCTACTGACTATTTAATGAGTTATAGGTGTCACGCCTAATGCTTTCTTTATCGCACAGAACACGAGCTAGGCAGGGTATGGTTGAGTTTTTGTACTTGCTAGTGCGAGCATTTAGTTTTCTATATAGGCTTCTGGTTTTGCCTGATGAGATGCAAGGGGAGAGTTGTGAGTGAAGAGGGTGGTGTGGGTTAGATAAAATGGATTTGGCCCATTTTTCACATGAGTCCATGTGCCTGTCGACCAGAATACTAACAAGCTGGTTAAGTGGCACGTTACTTACCCTGCTGACAACCTCTAACATCCTGCGTAATATGTTATAGTCTTTCTTCAGTAGCCCGGGAAAAACTAAGGGAGAACAATAGAGAATAATAGGCATAATGCGAGAGTTAATGAATTGTAGGAGTAAGGGTTGGGTTAAGTGCGTCGGTGGCATAGCGGTCAGGACGCTCGCCGACCATGCACATGGTCCCGGGTTCGATCCCCGGCCGACGCACTCCTTTACCTCACTAAGCCAGAAATAATGCTGATGAAGAGGAAAGGTTGGGCATGAGGCTAGCAACCCCATCCTGTAAAAATACGATATGCTACGGAAACTTCAAGCCTCTAGCTTGAAGCCCTATGTTCCACTGGGAACGTGAAGGAATAAAAAAAAGGGTTGGGTTATACCAGAATGTTTTAACTTCTTGATGTAGAAGGTAAGACGGAATATTTTCTTAGAAATCGTCAAGATATGAGACGACCAGAAAAGATCAGCAGATAGAATGACGCCTAGGTATTTAATTTCCGACTTGGTTTCTATTTCAGTGCCATCTATGTTGCATACCTCGTGAGAGCCAACCAATTTGTTTAGGTCGGATTTATGCCTCAAGGTGAAATTCACTGTTTGGCATTTGGAGGGGTTTAAGGTAAGACCGTTTTCCTTGGACCACTGGCTAATTTCTGACAGAAAGCCATTAAGTTTAGAGCAGTTACTTTGACATTTGACAGGCAAAGATACTGTCAGGTCGTCAGCATATTTGACAAAATTAATGTCATTTGAAGATGGTAAGTCATGTAGAAAGAAAGAAAAGAGAAGTGGGGAGAGTACAACACCTTGGGGGACACCAGCTTCAGTGAGCGCAGAAGAGGAGGATTTACCTTTGTATACGGTGTACTGCATTCTGTTGGAGAAGCAGGAATGCAGCCAGTTAGTGACCCAGGACTCAGTTTGTGTCATAGAGAGCTTATTTAGTAAGAAACATCTAGGTACAGAGTCGAAAGCAGAAGTGAAGTAGAGAAACGTGCAGCGGACGTATTTGGCACCTTTATCTAATGATGAGACGATACTTTTGTGTAATGAAATTCTACCGCCCTCTAATATTCATCTCAGGTATTCTTTTAATTTGATAGAAGAATTTTCAGCTATGATTTTAAGTGTCACATCTATTATTCCCCTTCAGAATGGAAATGTCAATTAATATTATAAATTAATTTTTGACTAAAAATCGAAATATTTTAAGACATCACTAATGCAATGCAAGGCAGTTGCTAGCTCAATCCTCGGGCACTTATTGAACTCAAGCCACATAGCTCCACTAGAGTCGTCTTCCAAAATCATCTACAAGATGAGGCCAAACGGTACAAAGGGCGGCATTTGTGTGTGGTGAAGGCGTCGACAATTCGTCAATACAACCCTGAACTCTGTATACAGAGAAAGTTTGTCCAGTCTGCTATTCTACCTTGGTCTTAACCTCTTCACTAGTCGTTCCCTGTAAATTTTTACTTCTAATGATTACTTTAATAATTAATTCACTATTATCATTCTCACATGTTCCTTTTGTATGTTTTCTCACCCTCTTCACACTTGTTAAGTGGAAACTCAACTACCTTTCTTCTGACTCAATAACAATTCTAACCTTATCAAATTTGTAACCCTTTGTGCTATTCAGTATTGCGTAATTTATAACTTTTATTTTTCTTACTTCTGAGTAAATTTTATCAATTATGTCACCCCCTATCACTCAGTAATAGACTAATATACATTTTTGGTAAATATGAATACGACTGTACAGCCTCTGAAGATGATTTCATCGATAAAGAAAATTTCTTTTCGCTGAATTGTCTTGTATTTTCTTCATAACGCAATAGGTATTTTCGGCGACATCACTAATAATAAAAGTAGCTGTCAAGGAACTTAACCCTAGGTTCCTATTATTTGCGAAGACATTCCGAATCGACAATTACTAGGTACGATTATCGACTTTAACTCCAAAACACAAGAACCAATAAGAAATTGTATTGTTCGGCAGTTAAATTCGCTATCGTACAAAGTCTATAAACAAATGCTTTACAAGAAATGTATTGTACTTTTATTCGTATTCTTTCGTCTTCTACCAACTTGTACACGATTGAATCATTCGCGCCCTCGAGTTACCCGCCAATGGTGACCAAAGTCAATGAAACAACATTCAATCTTCACATTCCTTTCCAGTAGCCTTAAGGTTAAAACTACTCCATGGACGTTTAAAATTCAAGTTAATTTTCTATTTAAATAATAGCTCCATAAATGATCTGGCACGGATGAATATGAGTAGACATTGGTCTTTCTCTAGAAATACTCTCTCGTGTAGCGATGTTTTCATAACCTCTGAGAAATAAGTCATATTCACTACTTCCATGCAGCGACGGTGTTCAACACAAAAGTGAAAGAGTGAATGCGAATGTCTAGCGCTTAGAACCAGGCTGGTGAACATGCAAGTCTACCTAGTAGAGCTGGAAAACCCTGATTCCAAACCTATGGGGTGTACATAGACTTCAGAATCCGAAATGACCGAATGGCACAAGAACCTGTTTTGGTCACCGGCAACTATAAGCAGGGGTGAGTGGACACAGCCCCTGACTGCCTGGTATGCACATCAATTTCTTTCTAGAGGACAGATTACACTGTAGACAGACATTAATTAAAATAATCCATACTGAACATGACGTTAAATAACATAGGACCCCCTTGCAAAGCACATTGGTAATGTGTCAAACTTAATTCAAATTCATTATCAATGAGTGATTCTCTGAATTATTATGACTGATATTTCATGTCAGTCTGTTTCTACTTTATACTATAAACCTGTTTTAATAAACATTTCTTTACTACTATTCACACTTCAGGCATGCATGTTAACTGACAGTAAGTGTTATGGATCTACTTTCGCCCGACTCTAACGAATACACACGCACAAACTTAGCACATATGATGCAAAACTCGCAAATGAACGACAAAATTTCAACTACTTTTATATATAGATTATTAATCAGAATAGCGAACTATCTAGATACAATACAATAAAATGAAAATTACCTGAAGTAAAGAAATAAAAAGTAGAAATAATAATAATAATGGTAATAATAATAATAATAATGTTAATAGTAATATTGGCTTTGCTGCTTAGTGAGCAAGATATATACAAAAAAACAAAAATAAAATCTAACTTTACACTCAAGACTGTTTGTAATTGTGCAATACAAACAGAAAAATAGATTGTCGAAAATGAGAAAAAGAAATCCAAAAGCCGAAAGATTTGAAAACAGAAAAATCAAACAAAACAAAAGTAAGATATTATTAATATAAACAATCAAGAAAATAGAAAACAACTTTGTACAACTCCCACCACCATATTGAAAAACAAGAGAGATAGAGAGAGAGAGACTATAAGCGAATATAGAAACAAAAAGAATATTTAGAAATTACACAGTGTTGTAATGTGATTAGTTAAAGTGAAAAGTGGATTAAGTAAGTTTGACTGGTCCTCTTCCGTAAGGATACAGAAAACGAGAAAATGCAGTGAAAATACTACGTGCATGCACATATATACTGCAGGTGTTTTGGCACATACACACACAAAAACAGTGACACAGTATATGATCACCTCCTTTTGGAATGAAAATACTCCGTTTTTAGCATACAACACTTTGATCTAACTCTTCAGGAGTTTTTGGACAAGATAGTTCAGCAGCCATCCATTCAGTACGATCTAGACTTGATCTAGGCGGTCTTGATGTAATGTCAAATTGGTGCAAACATCGAAGTGTTGTTACTAAATCCAAATTGATAGATAGTCCTGCATTTCCTAATCGTCGACCAGCAATCCACATTGAAGTAATCAGGAAGCAGATGTTATACATTAATATCACCACACTTAATTCATAGCTAGGTGACACTGATGAATAGCCAAAAGCTCGAGATACAAACTGACGAAAAATTGATTGTTCTTCAGTTTGAACCTCATTGACTGTAGTTAACTCTTCTAAACTGTCGGCAGGTGTAGACGTGAATGGATTCAGTACATGTACAAATGAATACCAATAAGTGAAATCAAAATAATAAAAATCACCAATGAATTTATTCCACCAGCTGTTGGATATATGACTCAACTTTTTACTTGGACAATTAACAATATTTTGGTCACAATCATTTTCATTTTCCAATGGAGTACAGACTAGATCTGAGCATTTAGATTGTGTGGATGTGACTGAATCAGATTTCAGTGGATTGGGCAATGTAAGCGTGGTCAGTCCAAGTAGATTGGTTTGTAAAGGAAGTGCAGTGCTCAATATTAAAAATAACAAGACATTGACCAGCATAATGTCTAAACTAGTTGCATGATATCGCGGTCGAAGAAAACCAACAAATGGAAGTGAGTAGAATCCCCATAAACCCAGAACAACAAGGAATACTACCAAACAGACCTAGAATGTAAGTTTAGATCGATACATTAGAAATGCAAAGATTTAAACACAAACAATTCTTAAATAAAGTCCCTATTTTAATATTCAAAATACTTAAGAAAAAAAGTAAGTGAAGGTTGATACTTCAATTTTCCAAAATTCCATGAGGTTTTCGACTAAGTTATCGAAGCATAGAACGAAGCAGTTCTCACTCTTACGATGGATATGCATACCAACATCTACATGTCGTATCATGGCACTAAAATGTATTTGTTTCAGAAAACCGTCTATTCTAAATGAGGCATGCCTCATTAATATGAATTTACCCAAAATTGTGAAACGGGGAAATATAGCAATGCTATTAGTCATATATAAGAGTTATTTGAGATTACGGTTTGTTTATTAAACAGTAATTAACATGCTCCAAGATTATATAGTGGTGAATATCTCCGCCTGTCACGTGGAAGGCCCAGGTTCGATTCCCGGTCGAGGAGCTGGCTTTAACCTCGCCTAGATTACTGGCTCGCTGGTTTTCTAGCCGGTCTCAAGCCCGGATAAAGAGGGGGGGTTAGGACGTGATGCTAGCAACTTCACCCCCAAACCTTAACCAAATTCCTACAGAAACTTCAACGCATAAATATATTATAAATACTAAAAATATAAACAATAACCTTATTTTTCGCTGGAATCGGGGAAGTGAAATGACGCAGCCTGGTGAAAGCCTTCGGGAAGCCAGTCAGCCGATGTGCCCTCTTTCGATGAAAGCAAAAATAAGGATGGGGACGTGGAATGTTTGTACAATGTACGAAACTGGAAAGGCTGCCCAGGTAGCCGCAGAAATGAGAAGATATGGAATATAAGTGTTGGGAATCTGCGAGAGCAGATGGAACGTATGTGGAAGGTGCCAACTATCAACTGGAGAGACAGTTTTCAACAACTGTCTTCGCTCTATACTGAAGATCAGATGGCCGGAAAGAACAAGAACCAACAAGAAACTATGGGAACAAACAAAACAAGAACCAATCGCCCAACAAATATGCAGGAGAAAGTGGAGATGGATTGGACACTCGCTGAGGAGGCCGCTGGGTTACATCGCGCGTCAGGCCAGTGCTCGAGTGGAACCCGAAAGGGAAGCGGCGAGTGGGACGTCCAAGGGTGACATGGAGGAGATTGTGTGAAGAAGAGTTGAAACAGTATGGAATAAAATGGATGCAGGTGAAAAGTACAGCAGAAGACAGAAGCAAGTGGAGACGTGCAGTTGAAGCCCTATGTTTCACTAGGAACCCAAGGGAACAATAATATACAATAATAAACATAGATCTTCTGTCATGTTCACAAACTCTCACTGGGAGAGAATGAAGAATACAACTCAACAACCATGAACAGGATGATGTTACATGTTCAAAACTTTTTAAGCTGATGAAACTACTAACTTAACCGAATCTCTATAGGTCATATATTATCATGTCAGATGCTGACAGGCATTACTCCGATATTAAGAAGTGAGATTACTCTAACTTTATAATATTATTTGTGTTCATCCATAACAAGTGGAAAAAAGATAAAATTCACACAAAATACTCTATTACCTGAAAAACAGCTCCAATATGTCCAAGAGAAGAAACTGGTTTTACGCCAATTGTAAAACTAGGATCCGATGACCCCACTGTAGTTGATGGATACTGTTTACTGTTACCACCCATTGTAAGATAACCAGCAGTACTGTCATCTCGACTACCATAACCACCAAAAAACATACTCCATAGAAGATCCAAAATATTGAAGAATACAAATGATTGCAACAATCGTAGTAGAAGACAAAGTAGGACTAAACAACAAAAATTCACGAAAAGTGGTATAGAATCACGTGTAAATGGTGTGAATCTTTGTGGTGTTATACGCTGTTTGAGTTGTAGTAACTCTGTATTTAATGAATTCAACTCATTTGTACACTTCAATAATAAATCTCCATACGATTTAACACCAGTATAAGTTCGAAAACATATAGATTCATAATTCATAGCATTGTCATTATTATTTATGTTCTTTTCTTCACACAAGAGTTGTATACACTCCATATCGTCTAAAACAGTCAACATTTCCATATTCAATTCTTCAATACGATCATACAATGTCTGTCTTGGAGTTGAATCAGATAGAGAGCGCATAATGAATGCAACTAAATTTAAACTGATAGACAACAAACCCATTGGTGTACAGATAAACAATAATAAAAGTCCTAATAGTGTAGCAGTCATTTGAATCAATTCTAAGCCTGACATCAATATTACTTGGATGCAAACATTTTGAAAAAAATTTATCCAACCAATAGAATTGATGGAGTTTTGTAGGAATGTAAATGGATGATTGTGATAATAGGCATGGTGGTCAGCAGGACTGGGAGTCGGCGAAGGATGCGATTGATGATGACGTTCAGTGAATATGGAAAATGTTTTACTAATACTACTACTGCCGCTGCTGATACTATCGCCGCTACCACCAAAAGATAATCCACTACTAACATCTGCTGAGAGAAAACAACCATTTAAAGCTGATATAAAACTACTTAAAGACCAAACTGTACCAAAGCATAAAATATAAAAGAAGAACACCATAATGAAAGAATCTGTTAAACGCGATGCAAACGATGAATATGATTTGTGCAGAAATCCTTGTGAAATTAAAAGAAAGTAAGAGAATGGTATAGTTAAACAGGATATCTTACTGCCAATATCAATTAACAAGATTAAATCTTGTATTAATTCACTATTTAACCATTGTACATAATACGATTGTGGAAAGATAACTAATATTTCATTGGTTATAATAGTCAATGGTAATAGACTGTATGAAGTTAAGCCTATGGTCAGTGTAAATGTACACATGCCCAAGACTAGTTGATAGACTAAGCGTTCAGCTCGACAAGGCTTTAATTCATATTCTGTTTTAGTCAGAAACAACTGTAATATTGTATGAGCGATGAGGAATAAAAAGGTGAATATTAGAAAGACGACTACTAGGCCACGAATTTCATCGTAAAATTCCTTTGCTTCATGACTTATTAGCACCACTTCATCCGTTTGGTCCATGTAATCATCAATATCTAGAGTGGAGAAAAAGTGAAATATATAAAAAGTAATTAGAATGTAAAACAAATTAATAAAAGTATTCTATTTATCGTAAACTACTATGCTAATAATTTTAAATTTCGTAATATTCCTGAAGAACATTGCCATTCACCATATTTATAACTGTTTTCATTTGAGGTGAGGTCATACACCCTGACGCATTTGGCTTCCTCATTAGTCGATATCAATTAATAGAATTATAGGAATCAGATAGCTGCAAACAGATATTTTATTCTATTATTCTAACGGTGTTAACAGTATCGCATTGGGACAGAATGAGGCGTAGAAGATTTTCAGTCAGAACAGTATAGTCTTCTTTAACCTTCATTAAATATTAAACTAAGATGACTTATCGATTTCATAATTGCTGGTAACCGTTTGAATATTTTGTGATGACAATAGGCTCTATTGAAAATGAATGACCAACAGCACTCTTTTGTTAGTTTATTAAGCCTAACAAATTCCACTAGTCGAACTTAGTGATTAAAATATGTTGGGGACTCTTCATCAGCACGCACCCACCACCGGGGTTCAAACCCAGGACCTTCTGGTTACAAGGCGAGCGCGCAGACCATTGAGCCACTGGGACCCGATCCAATAGTCCTTGAATTCTAACTTCTGCCAATTCACGAAATAGTGCGACCATTTCGCAATGTTTTCTTCGATAAGTTACTGCCTCATATTCAACCTGCTGTACCCTACTTGTGACGGCTTCTCACTAGAACCCCAGGTCACTGCCTGAATAGGGCCAGTCGCTAGTGAGCATCAGATTAATTTTCAAGTATTGGCTTTGGAGCGACTTTTCTTTGATTGCATGGAGGATTTCATTATGAGCTTAAATCAGTTTGAGAACCACTGATGTCAGCTCATGATGAAATCCTCCATGCAATCAAAGAAAAATCCCTACAAAACCAATACTTGGAAATTAAAATGTAACGTGGCAAGTACTACTGATAAGATTTATCAGTAGTATATATACAGAGACGTTCATCGGCATGAAAACATTTAACAGTGGCGAGATACATTTGATTTCAGAGGAGGCGAATGATACAGCGTTGTGGAAATACATGGGAGACATGAAAGGAACACAACGAAACACAATATGAAGGACAGAAGTACCATAACACGAAGATCTATGGAAATAGTGCGTTGAAGATAAGATATACATAATTTGGCTATATAGAGATACCAATTTCCAAGTTAACATTCCTTTACCAAGTCTTCGTCTTCTACCGTTTCAGTAATACAATCCAACATAATTACTTGGTATTTTTTGATTGCGTATAACACAATCATGGACTTCAGAAAACATTGTACAACTGGAAGTTAAAAATGAAGTGAACAAAATTTTTGGAAACACAGATAATACTGTTCTGAAGGAACCTAGTCAACTTGTGAGTCGAGCATTAAAAATGCTGTACGTTCCAAAGACTTTCTTTACCTATCCCTCGTATTACAGAGGGGAAATTCATAAGGCCAATGTCTATTGATCGTGTTAAACAATTGACCACAGTAATGATGAAACTGGTCACTTTTACTCGATAAAGTAAGGTATGACGTGGTTCTGAAGGAAAATACCTTCTTTTTGACACACCCGTAAGTAGGTAATAGTTGTGACACTAATGGTAATGATAAACAGACCAAAGTAAATACCCTGGAAAGTGTGATTATTCATCTAATCTCATCTAGCAAACACGATGTATGTACAAGAACCACCTAACAGGTGTCAGGAGATTTTTTGGTTAGTTTACGAGGACTTCCTCGTGTAGGAGTAGTATTGAGCACCGGGGCATAAAAACCACTACTTGACTGGATTACATTGGATAGTCGCTTGTGCACTTTCGAGTTAATGGGCCTGTTAGGAGAAAAGACTGTAATATCTATCGATGACTTTTTAAAATCTCCGCTTACGCCCTGACCAACTGTAATTAGGACGAAGTGAAGGCTGATTTTTATATAAAGCTTTCTAGTCTTCACATAAAATCAGAACGATTACAAATAGTCACATTTTAGCACGTAGTCTCAGTATTCAGTTAGGAGAGCTGTACCAATCAGAAGAGCATATTGGCGAAACTCATGGTATCCTATGCGTAGGAACCGATAACGGTGATCGTCTTCTACAGTTCTGTTAGGACAACCAACGGCTCCTCGTCAGCACTAACTTTAAACGTAAGAGGAAAGACTGACTGACCTAGCAACCTCCCCCATCGAATCAACGATGGACACAAATAGATCACGTAGATAAAAGCTATTGATGAAGAGGGTCATTAGAGGATTGTCACTCCATCTGGAACACCTGTGTATATTCCGATCACACTCTAGTCCGTGCATGTATATTCCTACAACTAAATGGACATGAAACAGGCAGCAAAGGAGCGCCTACGTTGGAACGAACACTTTGAGGAACAATTTAGTTGGCCTAGAACCACCCCAAATTTACCCAACATTCGACACCTGCCTAAATGAGAAGCAGGCATCAGTCCTCCTCGCAAGAGCTGTCTCTAATCGAAAACAAGGCAGAGCAGCAGTATATAATAGAATGACTTCAGAAACATTTAAGGATGGTGGTGATAAACTAATGACTGCGATAACTAAGACGTCAGGTAATATGCAGAAATAGTTCTGATAAACTGGTTTAAATCAGTGATTATTTCAGTCTATAAGAAGAGAGACAAGTTTTCTTGTGATAATCAATACGGAGTTTAGCTTGACTAATATAATATTTGGAGTTGTAGACTGAATAATCATGAGCAGACTAAATGGTCTTTGGGAGAAAGGAGACAATGGAAACCAGTAGGGCTTTAGATTCAGAAGAGGGTGTATTGATCATACACCCACCCTTCGACAAATTCTAGAATATAAGCATACTTACCGACGTCTAACGCTTGCCATGTTTTTGACCTAAAGGCGTTATTTGACTTCAGCGATCGAGAGGTGCTGTGGCATTGTTTGGCTATGAAGGGAGTAATGTCACTAATCAAGGCAGTCTACGCGAATTCAAGCAGTTATGTAACGGCTTATGAGGGATTGACGTCTGAAATGACGACAACCAGTGGTGTCCATCAGCAGTGCCCAATGTCTGTGTTTTTATTCAATTTCACAGACGCACTAGTGGGTGTGACTTAGTAGCACAGAAATAGTCTCATCAATTTAGAGTAAATATGCTGACAAAATGCAGTCTTCTGAACATCATGAGCAGAAGTCTCGATATGCAATTCCTGATTATCATATGCCATGATTCAATGTGTTACCCACTTTGCTTCCTTGGGAAATTGCATCATTCCTAATGGACCGACCTCCGACTTAATCTCAGCTCGCATACAAAAGGTTCGTGAGGCATTTGTCAACTTACGTTTAGTGTAGACGTAATGTCCAGTCATCGATAGAAGGACGAGTATACCGTACAACGGTTCACTGCATCCTTATATACGACCGTGAAGTATGGTCGTTTAAAGTGAGACTTGAAGAAGCTAACCATTTTTAGTTATTGTTGTTTGCGGTTTGACTCTGGCGTTAAGTGGTACACTATGGTGAGAGATGCTGAGATTTGGCGCAGTGTTGAGTATGGAAAGGGAATAAGTTGATGAGGCTGTCAAAAATTGTATAGTACGATGTGAGTCAGAAAGCTATTCTGTAACCAATATGAAAGTTCTTCAGTTCAAATTCTTCATAAAGAAACAGTAATAAATAATTACTCTGACACACACCTAAAAGTTTGGCAAGAAAGACATAGAAACATACCCGGTCATATTATTTTTCAGGTATGCCAAAGCTGGTGTTTAAGATAGACGAATCCTCAAAACAATATGTTGTGATGTGAATATAGCTATCAGTACTGGATCTAGTGGGAAAAGTGATAAAGTACAGTTAAACATCGAGATTTTTAGTGCAAATAAGGTTAAAATAAAACAGCAATTCATTCAATGACCAGAAGTAGCTTATCCACGGTGTACAAATGGTCACAATAATTGGATTCGTAACATTTAATCTTGCATTCGTATACGTCATTTAACACACCAAAGCACAACAGGTGTTCGTATCACCCAAGCATTTGATTCTTCATACGAAATTGTAAAACTTGTCTTGGTTTTAACACAAATACTATCAACTTCTTCGGCATACACGCAACTAGCTTAGTGAAGTAAACATAGTCAAAGACAAAATCTTCGAGGCTAAAGGCCGTGAACTAATACATACCTCACCATTTAGTTACTGGATTGGGATTCAATGGACCATGAATTTTAGCTTTTGTTAATGAACAAAATCTGGTCACCGCAAACCAACCTGATTAGTGAGTATTTTTTAACTTGAATTTCACAGCTTTTGATTTGATTATCCTACCTCATCAGTTAACGGGTCTCACAAAAAAAACCCTAGTATCCAATGCCGTAAATATGCAGTGTGTTTGTGAGGTTTGTGCAAAGGATCTAAGTGCGGTCATTTGTTTGACTTTAACTGTCAAATTTTATGCTCCAAGAATGCAGATCCTACAACAGCCAGCTCTTACAACTTTACGTGTACGCGTGGCACTAGGTCCCACGGTAGAAACTGCACTACCCAACTGAAACTAGCACAATTTACAAAAACTGGTGCGTCATACCAGTGGTCCTTATAGTCCTGAGTAAACCAACAACTATTTACGTGGCTCAAACCAATGAATTTATCCATTTATGCAGCGTTTTTGTCTGGCTATTCCTAACTCGTTTACGACCTAATCCCACTTCGGTTGATATAGCTTTTTGAGGATGGCAGTGGTTACGCATACGTAGTACGTCTCAAGCACCTCAGTCAATAATTATATTCTTTCTATCCTTACCTAACACTGCCCCAAACTAGTTATTATTCACACTGCCTTATCTGACATGGAAAACTGAACGAAGATATGCAACTGATCGTTGATAATCTAGCTTACTTCGGCCATTTGACCAACAACCTTTAATCTTCCTACATCTACTTTCAGCGACAATATTCCATAGGAGCAAAGTAGGACACAGCGAACCGCAGCACAGAATAATCCCTTTGATAGTTGGCCAGATAACAAGCTTAAGCTAAAGAAAAATGACAAGCGAACCTTTAGTATGCATGTTGAGATTTTGTCACCAACCAATCTACTCAAACTGACGCAAATAAGTAAGTAAAAGCATCAATACAATCAACCAGTTTTCTCTACTCACCAACTAGGAGTCGGTTGACAGGAGTGGGCTCTATGCCAGAACACCGATTCTCGCTAAGGGTGTTCAGGAAACCTCATTTTGTTAACACCACCCAAAACATACATCATAATCTGACGATTCTATATCAATGAGACCTTATGTAGTAACAAGTTGATTCCCGAAAGGTTGAAACCAGTGTCATCACTCCAAACGACAACTTTGTGTAAGCCTATACACGCCTGAGTTCAAATGTCTTGACCACCATAATACTTTTATGACAAGCCATCTCTCGATTAACAGGAGAAAATACAGATTTCAGGCCAAATATATTGCAACTTCCAGATGCTAGTATCCCAGAAACTGTCAAAGGTTTCGAAAAGCGAATACTCGTCAGGGTTTGAAGACTACTTTGTTCCCACAGATTAGTTTTTACCAAACTCTTCACTGTCGATATGTGGGTTGTCACGTGACAACTACATTCAGAAGCATCCAGCAATGACTTCTCCTCTTTGTTTTCACTCACTAAGTGTGCATTTGACTTCTAGTTTCACACATGACCTCTTGGCTACGGATACTACAACCAATTTAGAGTATGCATATGACAATTTTACTAAATGGAAAAGTTGACGATATGAAGTTTTCTGAAAATTTAGTGACAAACTATGGATTTTTAAACCATGTGTTT